GCTGGAGCCTTTTTTGCCTCCATTTCAAGGAGCATGAAACGTTAATCGCTAGGAGCTCTGCTAGGCCTTGTTTAGCTGTGCTGATCAGAGTATCTCTGGGTTAGGACCTTGGAGCACCCTGGCGGACATTCCATGGCTAGGCAACTTTTGGCGATAACAAATGAGATATTCGAGGCTCGTTCTTTCACAAGTTAGCCACAAGATGTCAAGTTGATGAGCCGAGAAACATTAAAGATTTCATTGGTGGTATAAATCGTTGCAAATTTCATCTCGGATGGTGCAAATTCTTCCGTCTCTTGGAGGGACAAACTCATCACCTATCAGCGATATCTGCTACGGACTTCCAGCTCTCACTGGAGAGTCTGCAGAGCTGAGATTGAGTAACACCGTCCTCAATTCTTTGGTGATGATTCCTAATCGCTTTCGCGGTCTGTATCGTCTTCATCTCCCAACACATCCCCCTATCACCATTATCATGAAGCTAACCACGATAAGATCAGATGGTAGGGTCGGAGGCCTACTCATCATCAAACCTTGATCATGGAGGAGAAGCCATCCGATGAGTTTCCGTAGCGTACCCAGCACCCGATACGGCGATGGTGGATTGGATCAAGCCGGCCTCCAATGATACAAAGAAAGGACATGTAGATGGATATGCGCACCTCGTGTGAATTCATAGTCTAGGCCTCTGTTTCTTTCTTTCTGAGTAGAATGTTGCTTAGAAAAGGCGGCTCAATTCTGTGGGTCAAGACTGAGCTGAATAGTTATTCATCAAGAGCAATATATCAATGATCTTTGAAGCAACAAGAGGCAAGGAGCGCTGTACAGGCTATGGCCTGGGCCAGTGATGAGTCCAAAGTACAGATAGTCATAGTCACCATGTAGTTTAAAGACAGATCGACGAGGTCAAATCTAGTGAGTTTGATTGCCTACAAAGAGGAAAAGGAACCCCTACCAAGTTCTAACTATTTATATACAAATTAAGTAACGTGCTGAGGTATGTATGTCACGTGATACAATATGTACCCCGACAGTCACAGAATCCAACAGTTAAACAAAACCAACCATCAACCGCCCCTTAGATCCCACATGCAATGAAGATGGCGCACTGTACTCTGTCCAGCTAGTCTAGAGAGGAACTTACATTTCACTGGCTGCGGCAAGATGTACCCCACATCTGCAGGTTGGAAGTGAATTGGGTGATCAGTAGCCCCGGACGCCCACGTTACCACGAGACATTTTCCTCTGGAGCGGAAGAAACCTTCCACCTCATTAAATCAATCGGTTAGTATCTAGCTAGGAAAAGTGACATAATATTTTGTTCCAATTAAAGTCTTCGTCGACTCTAAGACTTTGCAGTGTTGATAGAAGTTGTCTTGAAAGGTCCACATCAAAGATAGTTTTTATTCCTAAAATATTCAAACGATTCAATAGAGAAAAGACATACTCATGTACAAACTTAGGCTGATAAAAGGTAATAAAATTCAAAAGGAAGGTATGACACCTAATTAACATCTCCTCCACACGTAGCACGGGCGATACTGGTGATCTGTATCCTCATGCAGTAGGATTATCTATTCTGCATGCTCATGAACAGCTTCGTGTAACAATTAGGCAAGAGCCTTTGACATACAAACTTTCAGTCACAGCCAAAAGTGTCTTTCCCGATCAGCGGTCTTTGACAAAACGGTATCTGGGCCTAATCCGGGATCGAACCGGAGACCTCTTACATTTACGGTCCCAAAGCAAGAATTCTACCACTGAACTATCAGGCCCACGTTATGTATTGGAATATATTAAATATAAAGTTTATTTACTTCTGTACTGAGCGTAATGTTAAATATCGAATTGCACCCTTCGATTTGATTTTATTTAGCCCGCTCAAGTATATCTAGCTATAATGTTTACAGAGGAGGAAACCAAATTTGGTATAAACTCCTAAAACTGTATATCTCATGTCTCTTAGTTTCCTGTAGGATGTGCGTTTACACCGTACATACAGTATAAATCCCGTCTTATCCTTGACCACATCGTCTCATATTTTCGTCAAATGCTATTTCTACTTCTCCTGCAAGCTGGAATAGTTCAAACCAGCCTTTGGCCAGGATTTATTTTGTAATTCTCTCCACACCATCTGGGCTGTTCATCATTGCCGTATAGAACCTATCTTTTGCTTTTCGAGGTACTTCTCTTCTTCCCATTGCCCACTGAGAACACGCCAAGAACATATCTGACATTGTGAGACGGATATCCACACTGACATTTTGGATAAATCACACCGGGGACTTTCCTTCCATACAAATACGAATTGAGACTAATGTGCTCACTTCATATCTGAACTGCAATACTGCTTTGGGTCCTGCTGAGGTTCTGGTGGATATTTGAGGGTGTATATTTGTAGTTAATCCTTTTTCTGCCTGTTTTCTCATCTGCAACAATATTTGCGGCGAATTTCACCTTTATTTTGCATCAACTTGAAGATCACGTTAAATGTGAAAGTTATTTAACGCCAAACTAATCACACGTACGTTATGTTAACAAATTAAGTACTCACTAGTTTTATTCTAGTGAATTAATAGAAAACTTATCTTATTTGTTGCAGTTCAGTGGAGTCTGATCGTTAAAAAGCAGTCATCTTGCTATTTCTATTCCAGCGCAACAGATATCAAGGCCAGTCACTTGACTGATCGTGACGCGTCACTATTGACTTCAGTGTGCAAGTTATCTATGCAGACCTGAGCTGTTGCGCCCGATAAAGTGCGGAAAGCCCAAGGCTGTAACCTAATTACCTTTTCTCACTGTTCGACATACATCAGTAAGTTACATCAATTATATTACTTTCCATCCCTTACGATATCAGACATCTTCCAACAACCAAACTCCTCTGTATTCATACCTTGTCTCAAATAAAAGAATATTGTTCCGGACAGTCAGTCGCAGCCTGACTCTGTAGATAAAAGTATCTGTAAGCTTGTAAAACTAAGCCATGGGAGAATTTGAACTCAATACCTTGCCAGAGGATAGAGAAGTCATCCGTAAAATATCTGATTCTACGTGGAACCAAATATGTTAACATTTAAGTTCGCAGTAGATCAATTTTGCCTATCCAAAGAAGCCACTCGGCAGGAAAGGTCTCGCGCGTAGACTCACATGGACTCGACCCTGGATGACGAAGACTGAGCGCCTGATGTCGGTTTTCTCTGAGAGCAAGAAAGTGAAAATTTTCCCAAGAGCCAAGTCTAGTCAATTATCGTAATACAAGAAATGTTAGCTCACGTGGCAATAATTAGAGACTTCCGATCACCTCAATTCCACATCTCCAATCAAGGTTTTTTCTAGCCTTGAAATTTGAGTTACTGTACCTTGGTTCCTATGAAAAAAAATCTTATCAACTCGGACTCGGGTCTTACCTATTCTGAAAATACGCGCCCACGACATTTTGAATACCCTTAGGAATACGCAATTTGTGGCGCACAGACTTAGAATGGTAGATATTCGGGACAAACTTGATCCCTGGTAAGACAGAAATGTGTTACTCAGGATAAATAGTGTCTCCAATCGGGTGGTATTTCGAACATAGGGAGTGTTGATATAGCCGAAGTAATAAAAATTGCTTGCCTTCACGAAGTCAAGTAGGTAAATAATAATCCCGAAATACACACACTGTTATCCCTTCTTCCTACTCTATTCTAAACGCCTCACTATGGGGGCTAAGTTAAATCCCTATCGGCGTCTCAAGGCTCGGATGGTGCAGTGGTACGCTATCCGGCCCGTTCTCCCAGGTAGAATCTGGGTAGCTTGAGCACCTACCCCATTCGAGATAGGAGAAAGCTGGTTCGAATCCAGTAGAAACCCACACGCCACTCTCTCTCTCTCGCGATGATTTGTGCTTGTAGGATGATGAAAGCACATTCGGATAGCTATAGGGTTTTTACGCTTTTTCCTGAGGTGGGTATACACGGAAGAGGTTGTACGCTGTAAGGGTTCTTTTTTGCATCAGATTTTAATTGCGTGTGCAGCTATCTAGCTATGACACAATATCAAAGAAAAGTACAGAATAGATGACTCAACGTACGGGAAGAGCACTCATGCCAAGGATTTTATTTGCAAGTACCACTACGAAGTTATGGTGGCTTTTTCTTCACCTCAAGTCAACCCTCATCCGTGAATACCCACCCAGGGGAACGTCTCGAAAACCCTGACTTATCCAGACATGCCTCCATCCAAAGGAGCTGCCTCCCAAATTTGTGCACTAAGAATTTTGTTAATCTGCGGATTTTCGTATTGTCGTGAGTGTATAGGTGGCCAGATGAGGCCAGAGAATAGTCGATAGGAGGTGTCTTTATTGAGATAAGGATTTACTTGGTCGTGCTTGTCCACATTGTGAGAGTAAGGTAGGAGTCGATCTCTGTGTGAGTGAAAATTCGACATGGTGGAGTATTTTAAATCATTGCCTCGTGGGCCAAAATCTGTGGTATTGCGAAATTAGGCTGAACTTGGCCCTGAGATAATATTTCATTCCTATTTTCGCAGAGGGCACCGCGTAAAGGTTTTCAGTCTTTGCCCTGTTAATGAACATCTCTTCACTACTGTTTCAAAACTCTTCAATTTCCCAATTCGCTTTACTAGGTAATATTAAACAGAAGCCTAACAGCTTAAAATTCTCTACAAAACTCTCCTTCTAACGGTTTCAAGCAAATTTAAAATGGAAAGTTCAAAATTGTTAGCTCGTTGGTATCTCTACATTTAGGATCATTATTTTTTTTTTTTCAAGATATCTCCCACGAAATCGCTTTTGGGCCATAATATACTCTTTCTGCCCATTGAAAGTAGATCCAGAAAAGTGCTGACATATATCTCGGCTCAAAACATTAGTTAAATAGTTTATCATCATCTCATAATTATTCTTCAATTCATGATTTGGCCTCCTATTAGATTACTGATGTTTTAACTAGGATAGGACCACAATGAGCGGCCAATTCAAACTGTTAAAGATTTATCTAACCTCTAATCTGTTTGATTGTGTTGTTAAATGCCATTATAATTTCCTCATACATGGGATTAGGGTTTTTAGGGGTGCTGAGTTTTGGTATGGACTGCACAAACAAAATATTCTTAAGCTTTACAGCCAAATCCTTCTCTTCAACAAAACTCGACGAGAATATATCCAAAATTAGCTCGTCGAGAAGTGTAACACACATCGATTTTTCGCTAGGATTCCTGCTAATAATATGTGAATTCCATCTTCGCAATAGTTCTACCTCTTCCGTACCATTATTGCGTTCATACTAAATGCACCCCACAAGAAACACGTAGAAAAACGATTCCAGGTAATGACGGTAAGTGCATTGAATTTTTGAGCTGTGTCTTATAGCGTGAACTAACATTTCAAGCACTGTGAACTTCATAGTTCCTGTCAATAAATGACTATCGACTTTTTTCTGATCGTCATTAAGTGAAACTGAATGATCAAGGTCAATCACGATGCCTTTTATGCCGTCATCTCCATTCGGCCTTCCTAACATTTTACTTCTATCAGAAATGTCGCCGTGAGGGATATTCTTAACAAAGTAGAGGCGCCTGTGTCCCATGATTCAGTCTCTTAGTACGACAAGAAACTCAAGAATCGTCCTATTGAAATGCAGGGGATGGCCACGTGGGGTGACAACTAATTTGATTATGTCGATTTCTTATGAAGGTAAGTGGAGTGAGTTCCGGTTCTTCCAAGCCCATGGAGATAAAATGATTTTTGGTATCCATCCTACAGTCTTCAACTTCAGAGAAATCTGAATTCCTCGACTCCTGGCTGTTACGGAGCGAGTTGATTTGCAAGGTAGGTATGGTGACATACAGACTATGTACGGAAACCTAGAAACCGATGGTCACCTTCCATTGATATGAAAGAAGAATGTTTAAAGGGTTCTCGCGGACTAGCTGGACGCTAATGTGACTCAAATTACCAGTCCTCTCTATTCTTGTATGGTACTCACTCGAGTGCATGCGAGAACGTAATCACCGCCATGGCTGAATGGTGCAGTAGTATTTCATCGGGATGATCTTATAAGTAGATTCTGGGTATTATTAATTCATTTTATTGTCCTGTCTGAGTCTATGACTATGTAGGACATGCAGAGATTCTGGGTAGCTTGGGTACACATTCCACTTGAGACAGGACATCGCTTGCTCAACTCCCGCAAAATGCAACCGCGTTTTTCGCGATGCAGTTGTATATGGATAACAAAGGCTTTAAAACGTTCCTTTGGTTGGTACTTACGGAGGAGAGTTGAATGTTTGTGTAAGCAAACATACCTCATATTGGCATTTGCAAATGAAGTCCAGAGTATGAGTATCTCTAAAGTCGAAAGAGTCATCCAACATGTGTACATAGCACTGGTCTTGTGTCGTAGCTAAATACACATTAAATGATTTAAAAAACATAATTCAATCTTTATACCCCACACATGTCCTACAGAGCCGGCAAAGACGAACTCTTCACCTTCCAGTGGTGCCGATGCAACCGCTCAGTATGCTCTGCATATCTGGAATAGCCAAGAAGAATCGCAACCGGATCGAAGTCGAAAGCAAACACATGCATATCTCCATTGACGACTTCTCAATCATGCAGCACTCACCGTTATCTTCTGAGTCCTCAACCTCTTTCTGACCACACATCACCTAGCCTCAACGATCGATAAATGCGTCACCTCAATTGAAAATAGGAGCTCGCCTCGTTTATTACTGGCAATCATCCGCTACAAATTTATGACACTATATTTACCCACAGAGAGGAAATTAAGTCGACAAATACAAAGCCTGGGTCTTGGCTTATCGGGGGCCGTTGTTCTAACGGGACAAACAACTTGAGGGAGAACAGGCGGCTGAGGTGTGGAGCAAGGGGAGGATGAGGTCTCTAAAAACCATGCTGGAACTGAAATTTTCGAGGGTGTTTCAATTCTGGAAAGCTTGTGAGCGCCGAGACCAAGGTTTCGGCAATTCAGTCCGGAGAACCTCAACTGTTAACGAGTCAACGGCGCTCCCCAGCGACCTAGACGGCACAAGAGAAGTTGGGCTAAGATACTCTTAGGTAATCATGCTACATGAAGACTTATCTGATATTTCAGCACGACCTTCGGGAAAGAGTTGGAAGGAGGCTAGAAAGGCAGAGCGTGAATTTTTCGAGCTTCCCACAAGTCTGCAGCGGCTGGCTGGCCGGCCTCTTCGAACGCTTCAGAAGGGTCAGTTTGTCTTCAGATTTAGTCCTAATTTCGGTTTTAGAGGAGCTCCGCACCCGGTGCTTTTTACAATTTTTCCTGGCTGCCATACATCCGTAAATGGCCATCGGTTCGTTGGCTGAAGAGAGAATACAATGAAGGGCAGAATGCCCATCTAACTGTATGATAAAATGCAGACTAATGAGGGGAGCTATAACGGAAGCACGGAAGGGGTTATACTACTAGATAGATATCCTTGGCCTGTTGGCAGAAAGGACAATAAAATTAATTAATGAAAAACCGCAAGAAATCTTGGGAATTATTTCTAGACTCGAACCTGTAATCTTTAGTCTGAAGTAGGACATGTATCTAAGCTATCCAAAATCTACTTTAGAGGGCGACCCAGATAATGTATTATCGCATTATCCAACTTAGCTAAAGATCCTTAGCACTATGCCGCAATAAACTATCGAGCCCCTTGCATGAACAAAAAACAAAAAACAATGAGCAATAGCTGGTCACCAAAATACCTATCATATGTTGGCTACGTTGCCTTTATTTAAGGCCACAATTTGGATTCTGGTAAATTCTGCGGCCAAGATTAGGGTAAAATTTTTTAGTAACACATTTAGGTTATGCCAACTCGCCAAGGAATCAGTGGTAAGACGCTAATAACGCGGAATACTGTCTATTCATCATGAGGTATCCGGCAAACCGGGCACTACATTTATACTTGGAGTTCAATTATCATCTTACCCTTAAATTTCTTGACTTTTAATACTGTCCAAAAAAATAGACGAAATTTGCTCAACAACGGTAAAGTATACCAGAAATTCTGTAGATAGATCATATGTGAAGACCTAAATCATTTTTCATTGGAAGATTGGACATCATCGCCTGGTAAAAAACGTACTGCTGTATAAAGCTGTTTGTTTGGGATATGTTCGATGTCAGGACAGTTATTTTTATCTACCTGGCCTTAGGGGACGGATAAATGTGCGACCGTGATAACTTGAAGGTCGTAACTCGCTCCTCAATCCCTTTGCGACAGAATCAAAACTACCTAGATACCGAGAATTAAAAATATGGGACACGGCCACTCTAACGAAGGGAGATATTGTTCTTCCAAAGAAGATTTGAGCCATGAACTGGTGTGCCAAGCTCATCCCCTTATGCCACATAAAAGCCTTGCTTACCTTTCAGGCTATCATGTTTGCAAAGCGATGCTTCACCTCTCTCGAACTTTATTATTTTGAAGAAATATTTAAGAGCTTAGCAGAACATCAGAGCCGAGATGTTTTCATCAAGGAAAATACTCTTGTACGATTTCTTGAGATTCCAGATATCCTCGGAGTATCTCCCGTTATCTTTCGCATGATTTCCTACTTGGGCGCATTTCCATTTTGCCAGGACGCACCAGCTATACTAGGATTTGATCAGATGATATTAGTTGTTTCTTTAACGACACAGAGGTATCAGAAGGTTCTCAGAAAGGAGGTTCGGGATTACTTTAACCTGTTGTTCTACAGTCTAGCCGTCTATGATCGTCAAGAATTTTTGGACGTCAGTAAAAATGCAAAAAGTAATTATCCGGCCACGGAGTCTGACCGAAATTTATCGTCAAGCTACACAAATGGAGTCGCTGAGGGAAGCTCAAATTTTTTTAGGAGTGAGCAAGGAAACAATAATCTGGCTTTGGCAGCTCTAAAATTGTTAAATGACACAGCTCATATTCATGAGATTGGTGATGCTAGCAACTCCGAGCCTTCAATACCTCCGGATAATCTCAAGAAGCTCATCATGCTTTTGCTCTTCGTAGCTCCTCTGGAAGGTCAAGATAGCCTTGCTCAGCATGCTTCGAGACTTGTGGATACTCAGCTAGAAAGACTTCGGAAGACAGCTGACAATATCTTGGGAGCATTTGTGAATGTAGAAACGTCCCCCGGTGTCAAGCTTCATCAATTTCACGCAACTTTAACAAATTCATTGCCGTTCCTATTTGATGCGCTTTGTCCCTTATTTGAACATCTTCTCTTCGTCAAGAAAACTGAATCTATTGTACGGGATAATGATGCTGCCCCTTCTCATTTGCTGTGTTCAGATCCACTAAAAAGCTCCCCTATTCTCCCCCAAGATGGAGAGATTTTAGATCTAAATTTACTTTCACAATTATCATTTTTCCTTCCTGGCTCATCATTGTTTCGGCGTCTCCGTCTTTTGTATTCAGGCGGAGACTCTGGATTCTCCATGGGATCCTTTGAAACCCATGTCATGAACTGGAGAGCTCCAACCATCCTCCTTGTCTCCGGCACTCGCATAACTGAACCTCCGACTAGTGGACGAGAACGCGCCTTTGCAAACACTATATCGCCCAAGCGATTTCCGGATAGTAACTCGATGTCTCGTTTAGTCTTCGGCGTTTACCTTTCTCAGCCCTGGCGTCAAACACATAAAGAGTGTTTTGGAAACACAGACACTATTTTATTTCAGTTAGAGCCTACACATGAAGTGTTTCGTGCCTCAACAATCAACACAGATTATGCAACTTTCACCAAAGTTCCATCATCTCACCAAGGCATCACGTTTGGGTGTCCTCCTATTACCACAAAACAACTATCGGGGGTTCCAGCTCACGTGAATCTTGGTTCAGTATCTCTATTACTAGACTCTAGCTTTGAATTCGGGGTTTTCACACATAACTTTTCGTTGGGTGGAGGTGCTTTCTGTAATTCGGAAACGAGAAAATACAACTGGCAGGATCGATTCGAGATCGATAGCTTGGAGGTCTGGGGATGTGGAGGTGATGCGGAGGCTGAGCAGCAGAGAATTAGATGGGAATGGGAAGAGAGAGAAGCCGAAGCCCGGAGACGAGTAAACTTGGGAACAGGAGACATAGAGTCCGACAGGGCGCTCCTCGAGATGGCAGGAATCATTGATTCTAATCGAAGTGGCGGAAGCATGAATTAGACCAATGTCTGAAATTTTTGGCTGAGAATGTGGCGTTTGTTATCAGCCTCCAACAACTTGTAAATACATAGCGCAAAATTTTTTAGTTTACAATCGCCAGATCTCTTATTTTCACTTTTCTCTCGATCGTGATTTTACAGATCAGGTCAATAAAATATTTTCTTCATTTATTTCTGTTCTCCATCAGCGCGCTGCGAATCGTTGTTCTTAGGTTGGGTTTCAGATTTGGGCTTCTGGCCTGTTTCTACTATCATTTTCTTCGCCCTGGCCGCTTCCTTTCTCGCCCTTTCCTCTTTGGCTTCAAGGTCACGAAACTCTAATTCTTCAATCCATCGAGCATTCTTTTCTTTGGCTTTGCGCTCCTCAACGGCACGGTCAAATTCTTTCTGCTTCTTGCGGTCTGTCTGCCAGTACATGCTGCCGGCGACCATGGCAGCGACAGTGAATGCTTGAGCGTAAATACGCGCGCGAAACATGCGATTGGTACGGTTGTGGTCGCCTACGCGCATACTTCGTGAAGCGCTGAAGAGGGCCCATGACGTGAGAATGCAGCCTAAAGGAATGAGAGGCTCCTGACGCAGGCGCCGCGTGAGCTTCTGGAAGCGGTTTTCTTCGTAGAAATCGCTATAGGGGTGCGTTAGCCGAGCCACCGCGAGGAGTGCGAGGGCGAACTAGCGTCGCTGGATTTGACACACCTGTTGCCATCAAACGAGGATGGAAGCGGACGAGACATCTTGGAATGAACGTAGCATGGGTGAGTGCTGGCGCGGAGTATTAGGGGCGTCCAGGCTTCTTTATCTATCTCACCTCCGGCTGGGGCAATATCGATCCCTGCTTGATGTGAGGGCGTTTCGCAATAGCGGCGGCCAAGGTCATGGTGGGGAACGAGAAATTCATTTGGCGGTCCAGTCCACCTCCCTGCCCCTACCTCAGATAAACACGCTGCTGCCGATCGGATCCAAAACCCTTGGATCACCAAGGCATTTTTAGAGTCTGGAGGCTGACCTAATCATCGCTTAAGATCCACACATCCGAATTCCATTGCTCCCGGTGTCAAATCGGCACAAGTGTGAAAGAGCCTTGTCCCAAAACCTCTTAATGCTATTATTGCCCGAGCAAAGAGCAAGTATTCCAAGCATTCTCACAACTGATCTTTGTCTTCGGTCCGAAGCGAACGAATGCCCGATATGGCGACCAGAACAACCGACAGTCAGGCGCCAAACAACGGGAACACTAGATCCCGGACGCCAAGTTTGAATTCGCTCAGCTTGACCGAGTATTCAAGTAACCCACTGCCATCGGGCCAAAATCCCACGAGTAATTCTAAGGATCTCGTACCAGAAGAATTTATACTTCCTAATGGCTTTCCAGACGTACGGAGACAATCTTATATGATCCAAAGCGTTTCTAACGAGAATAGTACTTGCGACTTATCCTTACGTCTCGGGTCTACGAAGTCGTCGAGGAGACACCCCTTACACCGGCCATTAATCTAAGCAATCGTCTCGAGTGTAAAGTATTGTTAAAGCGAGAAGATCTACAACCCGTCTTTAGTTTTAAGTTACGTGGAGCATATAACAAAATGGCACATCTAGATCCCAAAACTAGCTGGAAGGGCGTGGTAGCTTGCTCTGCCGGTTCGAAATTTTTTGTGGCTAAGCGGAAAATTTGCTGATGGCGGCAGGAAACCATGCACAAGGGGTAGCATATTCCGCGAGAAAGCTCAAGATTCCGGCAACCATAGTAATGCCGGAAGGCACTCCTAGCATAAAACATCTCAACGTCTCACGCATGGGAGGTGCTGTCTTGCTTCACGGCGCAAATTTTGATGCTGCAAAGGAGGAATGTGCGAGGCTGGAAAAGATGCATGGTCTTACAAATATACCCCCATTTGATGATCCATACGTGATTGCAGGGCAAGGCACCATTGGTATGGAGCTCCTCCGCCAAGCAAATATGTCTAAGCTTGAAGCTATTTTCTGTTGCGTGGGCGGAGGGGGCCTAATTGCCGGCATTGGTACCTACGTGAAGCGAATAGCTCCACATGTCAAGATAATTGGTGTCGAGACTTACGATGCAAATGCTATGGTTCAGTCATTAGCTGCTGGAAAAAGGATATTGCTCAAAGACGTTGGACTCTTCGCAGATGGTGCGGCAGTCAAAATTGTCGGCGAGGAAACGTTTCGTTTATGTCAAGATGTTGTGGATGACGTTATCCAAGTCACAACCGATGAAATATGTGCTGCCATTAAGGACATATTCGAAGATACTCGTACAATCGTTGAACCTGCTGGCGCGCTTTCCCTTGCTGGCCTCAAAAAGTATGTTGGAGTCAATCCGAGTGCCGATACTTCTCGACAACTCATTGCTATCGCTTCGGGAGCAAATATGAACTTCGACCGTCTCCGCTTTGTGGCAGAGAGAGCTGCGTTAGGTGAAAAAAAGGAAGCGCTCATTAGTGTTAGTCTTCCTGAAACAACGGGCGCCTTTGCGGAATTAATCAAAAGTATAATGCCCCACATGGTTACAGAATTTGTATATCGATATGCAACTAACACTATAGCCAACGTACTTGTTGGTATCTCCCTAACGTCTCCGGCATCTCAGCGGGACGAAGAGCTCGAGTTATTACTCTCACGAATAAAAAATGGAGGCATGACACCTACTGATCTCTCGGGAGATGAGTTGGCAAAGACTCATCTTAGATATCTCGTGGGTGGTCGCTCCGACGTAGCGAATGAACGACTCTACATGTTTAATTTCCCGGAAAGGCCGGGCGCTTTAGAAAAGTTCTTGATGGCACTACGACCGAAATATAATATTAGTCTCTTCCAGTATCGCAACGCGGGAAGTGATATCGGGAAGGTTCTGACAGGTATTGTGTGTCCTACCGATGAAGTCTCAGAACTCGAGAGATTCCTCAAAAAAGTAGGCTACCGCTGGGAGGATTGCACAAATAGTGAAGCCTATAAAACCTTCTTGCGAGCTTAAACCCTATGAAATAAAAGTGTTTAAGTATTAAGAAATAAATATATCATGTCGATCGAGCGCTACATAAATGTGAATTTTAAGCGAATAATGCTAGGGAAAGACGCAATTGATGCCATGATATTATCCAGTATATTATGATTACATTCGAGTAGCCACGGTCTAAAACTTTTGTATCCATATTATTTTCTGTTAAACTATCGGTATCAGGCCAAAGACCTCATCTTTTATTGTCTCACGCCCTAACTTTAAGATCCAGGGGGTGACCTTTCTCAACACCTGTCAGTGGTACCCCCTACGAACCTCCAGCTCTCACTGTAGAGTCTGCAGAGTCGAGATTGAGTAACAAAGTCCTCACTTCGAAGAGGATTCCTAATCGCTTTCGCGGTCTGTATCGTCTTCATCTCTCAACACACTCCCCTATCGCCATTATCATGATGCTAACCACGATCAGATCAGATGGTAGGATCGGAGCCCTACTCATCACCAACCCTTGATCATGGAGGAAAAGCCATCCGATGAGTTTCCGGAGCGTACCCAGCATCCGATAGGGTGATGGTGGATTGGATCAAGTCGGCCTCGACTATTACAAAGAAGGGAGATATAGATGCATATGCGCACCTCATGTAGTCCCGGTGTCAGGCCTCGCCTGGCTGGGGCTGCAGGTTTTTTGAGACTTTTTCCCGCGCACGCAGTTTCCATTGCTACCATTTTTATTTTTTTTGGGTAGAAGGTTCCGTGGAAAAGGTGGCTGAATTCCACGGGTAAATACTGAGCTGAATGGCTATTCATCAAGGGGAATATATCAATGATCTTTCAAGTAACAAAAGAGGCAAGGAGTGCTGTACGAGGTGTGGCCTGGGACAGAGAGGAGCCCAATGTGCTAGATAGTCATAGACTCAAGTAGTACAATAAACAAACACACACACATCCACAAATTTTTGAAATTCGAATTTTCGAATATTCACCCTTTCCCCCTCTCGCGCTCGTCGCATTCCTTCAAAAAATTGTAATCGAGTCACTGGCATTTTCATCATGCCACCTGTTCGAAAAAAGCTCCCCAACTCAATGTTGGACAACGCGAGAGTCCGCCCGAGGGCTCCTGCAAAAACGCCTGGCCTCGCGCAAAAATTATCAAGCCTATTTGCGAGTGAGGCCTTTATCCCTGGGAAGTCTTCCACACTTCCCGATCAAGAGATGACTGATTCTGATCCGATCAGAACAGAAATAAATGGTCAACAGACCGGGAAACCTGCCGAGCTGGCCCCCGAGGTAAGCAGTTCAAGGAAAGGAAAGGAGGTCGTCAGAGAGAAGACGACTGATTAAGCAGAAACATCTGCAAGAAAATTCACTGTGCCAGCCTCAAAAGGCGCAGCTTCGACAACAGCGATGGAACTTCCACCAGAGCTGCAATCAGTGATTGAGGCCGAGAAGCGTCGCACGACGCAAATCAAGGCCCGTTTATCAATCTGTTCCACTGCAATAAGCAGTGTTGAAGCAGCACTCTCACCTCTTCCGATCGGCGAGAATAAAGAATTCGCAGATAGCATAAAAGTCTACCTTCGAGCGGCCATTGGCCAGTTCATACAATCAGGCCCAGGAAGCACTCCACCAGCTCTCCCTGTGCGCCCCAGCAACCATCCTCCGCCGAGGGCTCCAGAAATTAGGGTACCTAACCCTTCGACAACCCAGGCTCCGGCACCAAAGACGACTTGGGCCACAGCAGCCCGTGCAGGTCTAGGCCGCAGCGCCGGGCCGTCGACTACAAAGGCAGCACCGCCCGCCCCAAAAGCAAAAAGTGCCAATCCGAGGACAAAAGTCGACGCGAGACTTTTTCTACGCCTCAAAGTTAACCACCCCCACCGACTCCTGTCACCAGCTGGCGTAAGATTAGCTGTGTCACAGGTGCTTGGTACCGCTGCCGACGACATCACGTTGGTTCAGCGGGTCAAAACAGGCTTTGCACTGACAGCAAAGAATGAACCCGCTCGGAAAGAGCTCCTAGATTCCTCCATGTCACGGGGCGAATTTGGAATCAAACTGGAACCAGCGTCAAATCTGGTTGCCTTGCAAATTGCTACCGTACCGGTGACAATAAACACACTTGCAGGTCTCATCGAGATCACTGCAAAGATGGTTGCTGACGAAGTCACGCGAGTGACGAAATCGGTTCCGTTTCTTGTCCGTCCGCACGGGTAATGCAAGCCTGGGGCACCATACGAGAACTGGCAAGCCCTCTTTCCTCGCGAGTCCGCGCCCAGACATGGATTCCGCCTCTTCGACGATTCTGGAGCTGCAAAGCTCTTCCGACCTCGTCAACAACTCGAACAGTGCAAACGTTGTCTTGGCTATCACGCCAGCCGCGGATGCTCCCGCGCTCCAGCTTGCTGGAACTGCGGCTCAAAGATGCACTCGGAAGTGGAGTGCAAGGCCCTCACACGATGTCGCAATTGTGGGGGACCTCACCGATCGGACTCTCGGCACTGCCAAGCCAGACCTAGAAAAGATGGACCGGTGACCAAGGAACAGCTCGCAGCAATTCGCAAAGTCGAGCAAGAAAGATATGCAGACTTTGCCCGTGTCGAAGCTGCATACAAAAAGGACGAAGAGGCGAGGAACGCCTCTGCGAAGGACGTCTCTATGGCGGAGGGATCGGGTTTCGGAATTCTGGAAACCGAAGAAGTTTGAGGACTCGGCAGTCCTTGGTGAAGTCTACAACAACTTTCACAACAAAAAGCAGGAAACCGACCGACAGCAAAGGTTACCTGAGAGCTCATTTTTCGCTCTCAGCGGAGATTAGGAAAAGTCACCTGGAAGATGTGACAGGGAAGGAAACGGGCGAGAAGCGCGGGGTCTGGACCACATATGAAACTCTTCTAAATTATTTTTGATTTACGCTTTGATTTTAGTTTTGATTTAAGTTATGTTGTTAAATTCATCTACTTTTGTCGAGGTTCCCGCGGTTGTATTGAGTTGGGCCTGTACGCAGAGAACCCCATCGGCTCCACCAGTCTTGTACCGATAGTGAACCTAGAGCTTTAGCTTAGGACTTTAAAATATAAAACAAAAACAAAAAACACACCAACAGATCCCAAACGCACTTACCATAGGCCTGGAAGAAAAAGCTTAGGATATAATCCTATAAAACTGGAACGAACTCGCCCGATTTTTTAACAGGAAGAAGTACGCAACACCTACCAGCTGCCTAGCCCAGGAAATATGCCATAACCCAACACACCTGAACTTCCCCTCACAAAGAAGACCAGAAAAGTTAACAATCTCCGAGTAGTCCGAGGAGGTTATTGATGAGTGGTTTGAGAGAATTAGATGCAAGTCAGGTACCCTCATTCCCAGCCAGAGGGAAGTGTATGTGAGTTTATTGTACTACTTGAGTCTATGACTATCTAGAACATTGGGCTCCTCTCTGTCCCAGGCCACACCTCGTACAGCACTCCTTGCCTCTTTTGTTACTTGAAAGATCATTGATATATTCCCCTTGATGAATAGCCATTCAGCTCAGTATTTACCCGTGGAATTCAGCCACCTTTTCCACGGAACCTTCTACCCAAAAAAAATAAAAATGGTAGCAATGGAAACTGCGTGCGCGGGAAAAAGTCTCAAAAAACCTGCAGCCCCAGCCAGGCGAGGCCTAGACACCGGGACTACATGAGGTGCGCATATGCATCTATATCTCCCTTCTTTGTAATAGTCGAGGCCGACTTGATCCAATCCACCATCACCCTATCGGATGCTGGGTACGCTCCGGAAACTCATCGGATGGCTTTTCCTCCATGATCACGGCTTGGTGATGAGTAGGGCTCCGATCCAACTATCTGATCTGATCGTGGTTAGCTTCATGATAATGGTGATCGGGGGATGTGTTGAGAGATGAAGACGATACAGACCGCGAAAGCGATTAGGAATCATCACCAAAGAATTGAGGACGGTGTTACTCAATCTCGGCTCTGCAGACTCTACAGTGAGAGCAGAAGGTTCGTAGGGGACACCACTGACAGGTGTTCAGAATAGTCCCCCTGGGATCTGTCGGTTCATAGGTGAATGGCATAGGGATAAAAGGCTTGACTAAGACATGTACTTCAATAAGCATTAGTGAATGTATCACGTGATTTAGCTCAGGCGCCAAGCTCCGATTTATAATTTAGATATTAGTGCTTGAGGAAAGAAAAAAGGGGAAAATAGATAGAATGACACCACTTGTTTATAGAAAATTTGAGGTATTGAACCAAGTGAACCCCGTTGTTCCAGCAGGATCGGTCTTCGTTTACTTTCTTGGATTTTGGTTAACCTGTGCCTGAGGTCATCCTCCTATACACGAGGTTTCGGCCCGCCGAGTTCTGGGTCTATGCTTCTTGATAAGAAATTGTAGGCGGTATGTAGGGAATATATTGCGTCATTAGCTACCGTCAATCCAGCAGAAAACGAGGTGAGTGTTGCTTCGGGCGGTTTTTGAACTTGCTCTTTCCCGCAGATTTCGGCGACAATTTAACGTCTTGCACGAGACGGATTAGTTTTCAGAATTGGAAGAGCGGTTTGTTGACGTCTCGTTCGAATCTGTGATGTTGCGTTCTAAACTACCATCGCTTGGGTCAGATTCGGCCGGTAGCTTGACAAGAATCCTGACTTTACGGGCTGGTTCCGGGTCCTTCGGAAGTAAAACTAGCCTGTGTTTAATGGAGGAGATGAAGGTAGAGCCTTTGAATTTCGTTATTTCCTCTCCGACTAAAGTATTCTCAATTTCGATGTAGCTGCTGCGGATGAAGATTTTTGCATCGACGTCATTTAGCCATGGTAAGCCCAAAACTAGGCGTATTTATTTATCCATTTATGTCCTATTTGAGTTTCTAACTTTGTAGGACAGACTATTTAAATACAACTTTTCTTTTTCATTCTAATTGTGGGTTTTCTTGATTTGATGTTGGGATCCCCATTACTGGTTCACCGGGGGAAAAGTAGGCGTAGGTCTTCCCTCTTATGGGTGTCGG